GTATTTGGTGTCATGCTTAAGTCACTTGTGTAGTATCATTTCTGGTGACTACTTAGAGTGTAAAGCATTTTATTGCAGTGATATACTTACCCCAGTCGACAAACAACAGCGAACTTGGGCGCTTATTGCATCAACTGACGGGCAGCTGTGTCCGTGAATGGATTCACCATATGCTGGTGTCGGTGGTGGTGTCCTCGGTGCCGACATTGTCACAAACGCGGATTCATCAGAACCTCACAAGGCAAACGTTTCAGAATTAAACATATCGTTTTCGTGAATTATAATTTATTGGCGAATAGGATTCTGTGTAACTTCAACCATTATTTAACAACCTGAGGGATGCTTAGGCCTCGGGTCCTGTGGAAACTGTGTAGTATTATTGTTTTAAACTGATTAGAGCAGATTTTATGTTGCCGAAAATGTTGTGTACCATCAGACAAGGAAAGTAAAGGTATTTTCGTGTTTTTCGATCCTTAGCCCTTATTGAATTATTCATCTAGTTCAGTATATTTAGGGTAGTAGGCAATGCCTTTGAAGACCCTATTGAAAACAATATGCATGAAATATCCAACATAAAATAATAATTGCGTGGTCACGCCAACTGGACTACAAATGGAATTGGTTCACAGTAATGGGTTCTTATACATGTAACTGGTAAACAAAATGGCTTGAAGTTCGGATGCCGGCGCCGGTTTCCAGCCTCAGCATGGAGATTGACTGAGTAAGCCATACTGAAAGCTAGCCCTTTATGACGGGCAAGGTTGCCCTCACAGCTACAGGAAGGTTTTTAAGGTTTAGGTATTAAAGGGTTTGAACCGCTTTGCCTATCTCTGTTACATAAGACAGCGTTATGTTAGCGAGAATGCCCTGCTTTTTGTTTTAAATCGCTGCAAGATGTTGTGATCCAATTAATAGCAGTCCGATCGACTACTCCTTATTGACGTGAAAAAGTCCGATTGGCAACAGCATTCTCTTGTTTTCGAGCCTAAAACGCATCTTATGCACCGTTTAGTGCCACTTGAGGGTCACTGAAGAAGTCTGTAATAAGGCTTTGCACGGAAGGTGTATTAAATTACAGGTTATGACACGAAATAGGGCTCCCCGTAATCCGAATGCTTATTCCCCTACCCTAACCCTAATCTCTCAGGAAGTTAACATAAAGTCACCTGTATTATGGGGTTTTCATATTCCGGTGTCCAAAGAACTCCAGAAGCCAAGCTTGGGTCTCTATTCCCTAGTTTTCTGTCGTGTTAAGAAAGAGGTTCATAACTTTAGAACCTGATTTAAATGTCATTTGTAAAAGGTTACTAGTTCTTATGGTCTAATGCGCAAACGTAACTTACTGAGTCCGTTTAGTATGTTGTAGCAGCAGATGAAAGTATCAAGCTCCTCCCAACCGCTGCAGATTAGATCAAAATCTCTGGTGGTTAACTGCTTTTCTTTCAAACAATCCAAATTTGTTGCTTTTGAGGCCTCTGTCGATTTTCTGATAGTCTCATTTTGACTGCTTTCCGGTTTTTGATCCTTGATTTCTTCTAGTTGTGACGTAGGAAAAGGTGTTGCTGGCTTCGTTGGAAGCAAGAAAGTCGTTGGTTCACTTCCATATCCAACTACGGTTTCGGTGGTTTTCTTATTTTTCTCGGTCGAGGTTCCAGCGCGCAAATTGCAAAGACTTCCAAAGGAGACTTTCTTCGAAAATTTTCCCTGGTCTGTAGGTGTATTAGGGGGTAGGCGCGGGCTGCCTGTGACTGGGAATGTATCTAAGTCCACTGTGGGTTGCCTACGGGGACTGCTTGAAGGAACAGAATTATGCAACGGTTTCCGACAGTTCAGTATAAGAGAACGTCTACGATCCCCGTCCGATTGCTTATCAGCTGAAAAGTTTACACTGGCGGAACCCGGCTGACAGAGGGAATCTTCTTGAAGTTCTGCGAAAGTGGGAGTCCGGTAACTGTTATCAGAGGCTACCGCTTCCAGGCCTGAACAGTTATGGGTACCCCTAGGAGAATCGTTTAACGTGAACGTATTCAGGTCCTGTCTTTTGCAACCTTTAACGGGAAATGGTTTGGCAAAAGAGCATGATAGTTGTTGTTCCGAATGCGTATCTTCGAGTTTCATAGCGGGCGCCTGTGTGCCGACTTGCTGTGATCCAGAAAATTCAGCGCCCTCCTCTGCGTCGAGTGACTGATTATCTGGCAGAATGGGCGAAAGGCCAAGTATGAGCCCAGGCGAACGATCAAGGGTGGCGGTAGAGTGCACGATTTTATCCACAGAATGGCACAAGACAAGCGGAGTCTGCAGTGGAGGCTTCCGTTCCGCACCGTCTGACGACGGGAGCGGGGTGTTTGATAGCAGAGCTCCAAACGTTCTGTTCATGACCGCTTTACTTGGAGGATGGTCTGAAGTGGGACCACCTAAAAGTGTCCTTCGCGCTTTCTCGTTTGGAGTTGACTGCTTCACTCTGTGGGGGTCCCATTTGAAGCGTTTGGGTGTTTGGCGCGGAGGGTCAACACCTATCCCATCGTCAATCTTTGCCTCACAAGTGCGGGGCTGATCGAACAGCGTGACTTGTGGGGTAGTTAAACTAGTACTTGACTTCACTGGAACTTTGTCATCCATGGAGGGGCGAAGAGGATTCTGGAGGAGGAAGAAAGTGCTTTTGAACAATATCGATGCATCTTTTATATGAAAGGTAAAAACATTTCAGTAGTCTGTATTCCAGCCCCAACTTACCGCACGACCATGTACAGAACAATGGTAGTGAACCAGTAAACGATGAGTCGTTATTTTAAGGCCTCAAGTCATAGATTTGGCAGTAGCCAACTGAAAATTCCCTTTGTAAATTAACTTTGGTGTATCTAACATGACCGCTTCACAGAATACCTGAGTTAGTTGTTTTGCTTCAGTCTAAACCAGATATTTTCTGGATTACCTTAGTGGTCATTGAGTGTAAATGGCATAGCAGACAGAGACAGTGGATCACAGAGGAATAGTCTTCAGAAGTAGAAGACGACTCGATCGCTGGGA